ATAGCTAAGCTGAAATGGTTTTTTTCGAAAACGACCTCTCCCTTTGTGCAGTCAATTTCCCAAAAAAGTTGAAAGAATTCAAAAACTTTTTTATTCCAAAATGTAGAGGAGATCTTCAGCTTTCGAATGATATATAACACTCATATACATCTGTTCGATATCTTGAGAAATTTACAAAATAGTAACCTTGAGAAATTTACAAAGTAGTAAAAACGCGCATTCATAACTGGACAACCCAATATTATTTTACAACTTACAACTTACTATTTAACAACTTTGCTAAATGCTAAATGCTAAATACCACAATAGTTTTGTTAAATTTGGCAAAATTGAGTTTTGTTTCTTGTAGACTGAATATTCTGATGCCGCCAGATAAAGCTCAGTCAGAGAGCCAAAAACAAACATCGTTTAGTACTAAATTCAGCAAAATTTTGTTAAATCGAAATACTTTGGTGGACTCTTTGAATTTTGCAAAACAGAAGTTTACTAAATTTAGTTTGGTCCACCAAAAAAATTTTGCTAAATTTATGGGTATTTATCGATTATACTGGCTGTTTTTATGCAAATTTTATCAAACAATATCAAAAAAAAGTGATAAACTTGAACGTTTTTTACTAATAATTTGATTATTACTTGATTATTAGTTGATTATTAGTTGATTATTAGTATATTATTTTTTGCCATGGCGATTCTAAGGGGTTGGGGTACCCGTGCGGTATATCCTAGCGCCGCTCCCCAACTTTGCATGGCGTAAACTTTTTTATGCCACTTTTGAAAAAAGCCGAAATGAAAGATGAGGAGTTTTGCTTGATGAAGAATATCGTTTTCTTTTCAACAAGTAAAGTTTAACTTTGAGAATTTCATAACTCGATCGTTTTTAGCGCTCGGCTTACAGGAAAAAAGCGTGAATGTTGCCCGGAAAGCATTCAACAAATACTCTTGGCTACTTATGCAAGCAAGTTTTGATGGTCAAAATTCAAAATGAGGCATGATTTCAGCATCTAATTACCCGATTTGGAAACGAGGCAATTACTGTGCAGAGATTCTCCGATCTGATGGCAATACCTGTGCATCTACAAGTGAGGATTTAAATTGAAAAACTCGATAAGAAAGCTTGTGTTTTACTTTTGAACCTAACTAAAAGTTACTATCTTTTAACAAAGTATAATAAGAAATCTTATTAGTATAGTAAGAAGCCTAGTAAGTTGATTGTTTAAAAGTTTTTTTGGCTCGATTAAAACACTGGTTCAAAACTATTGGGTTGGTGAATTGAAAACTGCGGGGCTTTGAACTAAAATTTATTCAACATAAAACCATCAATTCATTCCAAATAATTTCCATTATTATTGACGACTTCTGCCCATTTTAAAGGCAATTTGCGGATTCCTCTTTCGCAGTAGGATTTTGGTTTGTGTGTGAGACAAGTGTGAGACTCAAAAATGGAGAACTGGAGATATCAGCCGTCAGCCCAGTTTGAGCACTTTCTTCAAAAGAAACCCATTTTGGTGTCAATAGAAAAGTTGTAGAGAATCAAAAATTAGGCCTATAGCCAAATTTTCAAAAAGATACACTTAGTAGTTTCGCTTAAAATGTGAAAATTCGTAAATTTGGCATTTCTTGAAAACCAGTTTTTGAATCGTTCTGAAAATTTGGATATAAGCTTAATTTTTGATTCTCTACAACCTTTCCATTGACACCAAAATGGGTTTCTTTTAAAGAAAGTGCTCAAACTGTCACATATGACAATAGCCGGCAGTTTTCAATTCACCAACCCAATAGTATAGTAAGAAGTCTAGTAAGTTGATTGTTTAAAAGTTTGTTTGTCTTAATTAAGACACTTGTTCAAAACTATTAGGGTAATGGGAATGAAATCAGTGCTCACATATCTTTCCAAAAGTAAAGAGATTGCAAGCCTCAGCCAATAAGTGTTGTATACTGTTCGAAAGCTCTGAATCTCCTCTACAAAATAGTGCAAAAAGATTTTGAATTGAATTGATACCTGTTCATATGCAAATTGCGCTACTCAATTTGCATTTAACTGTCTTACTTCAAACAGTTTGGGAGTTCTCGAATTTCGCAACTTTCTTTCCGCAACTCTCTATAACTTGCGTTTCCGTGGGTCAATTTTTATGACATTGGTACCATTTTGTAGATCTTGTCAAGTGCAACAAAATGGTATCAAAAGCATAGCAGCTGAATAACTTGAGATTTGCGTTTTGTTTTTCTATTTCTATGCCCGATACGCAACTTTGTCCTCAATAAAGTAAAGAAATGAATGGCAAAGAATTTGGAACCGAGGGGGACACTTTGAAAATGTGAAAGTTCATGTATGTACAGTGGAAGCAACTAGGGAAATTCCGCAACTCGCTATAACTTGCGTTTCCGTAAGTCAATTTTTATGACATTGGTACCATTTTGTAGATCTTGTCAAGTGCAACAAATTGGTATCAAAAGCATGAAAATTGACCAGAAACGCAAGCTATAGCGAGTTACGGAATTCCCCTAGTTGCGGAATTCCAGGGCCCCAACAGTTTAGCTGTAAAGTTTCGATCTTGAAATTTGAAATTTTCAAAGGATTGAAGTAAGTTGTTGATCAAAAATGCATACAAACATCGCGAAAGAACAGAAAGTTTGCCTATAAAACATAAAAACTCCGTGTGTTTACCCAATAATCAGCCCCGATTCTTTAAAAACTGCATAATTGCCCTGTTTTTTTGATATTTTGCTGTACACTTCAAAAAAGCCACTTCGTATATTTGAGAAACGCGAATGTAATCGATAAGTACCAATTAAGCTTATTTTGCTAAATTTAAAAGTTGAGATCCGGGCCGAGGACAAAAGAAGAAGCAACTCACTGGCAAGCGATTGCTCCATAGACTTTCACTCCGGGAATCGCTCCACATACCATGCAGATCTTCACCTCATCGTTCCCAGTCGTCAATTCAATGATCTCCTCTTTGATCTCCTGATGAAAAGCCATTGTAAATGCGGAATGAAATGGAAATTCTTCGGGAGAAGTGCAAAATTGAAATTGTCCGGTTGCTCAGGGTGACGGGGTGATCTGTGAGATTTGTGTCGAGAAATTCCCTCCTTTCTTTTGGCAGAATCACCTGGGAATTAAATATTCGGTACTTCGTATTTCGAAGAGGGGAAAAAGGATGAGATTAGTGAAGTGTGGTCCAGCAATTTCCTACTTAAATCTCATTTCCAGTACAATAGGTTCACACAAAATCGCATAATCACATGAGTTTCTCCTTTCCACAAGATTTACATTGCATAAAACATAAAGAAATAACATAAACAGTCACAAATTCGACTTTACATTCAAATTATGACTGTAAAAAGCTGAAAAAATAACTTTTTTTAAGGAAAACTGGATCAATCTAAATCAAAAAAGGTAAAAATCGAGCTTAACTTAAGAGAAACTTGACAATTTATTGATTTCTAAGAAAATCTCAAATGAAATTTCTGGCTGGAAGCCAAAACTGATAGTTATTTGATGGATGGGGATTCAAATAATCCGAAAAAACTCACTAAATCTCCCATTTATTACCTTTTTTTCAGAATTTCATTTCAAAAGGATGGACGTCATTCGGATTATGTAAGAGAAAAGCTCTCAAATGAAATTTCTGGAAAAGTTTAAAAGATAGAAAATATGGAAAAAGGAGAAACAAGAAAAGAAGTTAAACATTATCAGTAATTTTTATGTTGACAACGAGTTTGACAACTAATTTCTGTACTTTCATGAAAATAAAGTCAAATTTTCGAGTTGCTTTCCGATATTTCAATGGAAATTAACAATTTTAATCAACTTAACAAGCAACTTGGGCACCTCAATGAGCTTTTTCTATAATAATTTTCAAAAGATAGATCCTTCAAATGTTTTCTCAAAAACTGGCTTCTCATCCTATTTGCAAAGTGTTCCAAAACGTTTATTAAACGCACAAATACGCGAATACCTTGATACTAATGGCTAAAAATATATTTTAAACATAAAGCTCGCTTTTGGAATAAAGTGCTCTGCGAAAAGGAGCTGCACAAAGTAGTTGATTTTCTTTGATTTGAATGGCACCAAGATCTTTGATTTGAATGGCACCAAGATCTTTGATTTGAATGGGACCTCATTTTCTTTGATTTGAATGGCACCAAGATCAGTCCAATCCACCATCACTGCGCTGAAATATAACGTTTTTTTACAAAGCATTTACAAAGCAAAGGAAAAATCTCCATATAAAAAGGTCTCGAGGCGTTGTTTGGGCGCGCGCGTAATCGCTCTCCATCTGGCAAATCCCCTTGGCATAGGGTGTTTTGCGTTTGGGATTTGGGAAGGAGGAGGGGGTAATAATTGTGGCCTATGCTCACTAAATTTCTCGAAGATTCATTTATTTTTTCGTGTTTATGTGTTAGATTTATTGCTAGAAATAATAAAAATGAATTGGCAAAATGAATTCGAGCGCAAGATAGAGTTTATTAACATTTCGCGTGGCCAATCTTTTTTAGCTTTTTCTGGCTTTTTGTTTTGGTTTTTTGGTGCTTTTATATGTGTCATAAGAGTTTGATTTCAGGTTAAACAATGTCGGATGAGGAGGAAGTTATCTCGAAACCCAAGTATCTTCTGGTAGAAATCGAACAGCTGGAATTGCTTCTTCAACATTTTCACATTTGTGGTGGGGCACCTGGTGGGAAAACTGCCGGAAAAGGGAGAAACATTTAGTGGACGGAAAACGGCACAAACTTTACGCCACAACAAGATGCTCGTGCCAAAAGTATGATCGCATTCGTTGGTCAGCTCAAAAATTGATCGAGGCCACTGGGACTCAGACTGGAAATCTTGCGTCACGGCTGCGGCACAAGTTAATTTGAGCTCAAAATCGAGTTTATTCACATTTCGCGTGGCCAGCTTTCGCTTTCTAGGGCTTTTTTCTGTATTTTATATTTTCTTTTGGGTTTTTGGTGCTTTTATGTGTCATAAAAGTTTCATTTCAGGTTAAACAATGTCGGATGAGGAGGAAGTTATCTCGAAACTCAAGTATCTTCTGGTAGAGCTGAAATTGCAGCGGGAATTGCAGCTTGAACCGCTGGAATTGCTTCTTGAACATTGTCACATTTGTGGTCAGGCACCTAGTGGGAAAACTGCCGAAAAAGAGCTTGAGTAACATTCAGTGGACGGAAAAAGTAGTGAAAAAAGTGGAAAAATAGTGAATGAGGCTATTGAAAGAAAAAATAACCGCAAGGAAATCGACGAGATGATGAAAATCCAGAGAATGAAGTGGAATCTCTCCAAAAATTTGGAGAGATTTTGAACTTGAGTGATGTTGATTCAAATGATGAGTAACTTTTGGTGGATGGTTATACTAAAAGTTTAAATTATCCCTTTGTACATATTCGATGGTTTTTCTGTTTGTTTTCTCCATTTTATTTGTTCTTTATGAATGGATTTAGGTGTCTGCCGATCTCTAAAGGAATTTTAAGCCTTTCTCTCATTATGGGCAAATTTTTGGTATCAACTTTTGCCTTAAATTTGCTTGTATTTTTGCTAGAAATTTTGTAACCTGTTGAACCAGCTGAGAAACTCAAGGACGAATGAAACTCGTTTGCTCATTCGAGATACATGAGGATCGATATGGGAATGGGAATGGGAATCGAATGAAACGACCTGAATCTCTCCAAATTTCTCACTCATTGCTTTTAATTCATTCTCTGGATTTTCATCATCTTCGATTTTCTCGTGGTTCTTTTAATATCTAATAAATTATTGATAAACCTTTTAGTCATTCTTACATGAAAATTCGTCAAACAAAACTAGACCTTCACACCCAATAATTCCGAATAATTTTAGTGAGCAATCGGTCTCAATTCGGACCCCTCCTTTAGGCATTTGAATTTGAATCAGAAAAATTTTGGAACTGGCATCTATATGAGCTTAAATGGTATTTTGATTGGTTGGGGTTTCATTTAAAGAGATAGGGAACCAGATTTAAAGAGATAGGGAACCAAATTTAAAGAGATAGGGAATTTGAGAGATCTCCGTGAATATATGAGTCCGAAAACGCGAACGAAATATCTACGAGCCATTATAGCTTCTACGAGCCATGATAGCTTCCAAGTGAGTTAATAAAAGTGATGTTGTCGATGGCAAACTGAGTTACTAACATTGATAACAGCACTACCAAATCTAAGATATAAGTCAAAATTTAGCTAGCAGAAATATTCAACCAAAAGTTAAACAAATTTGGTTCAGGTGAGCTAATTAATTAATTAATTAGTTAATTAGTTAATTAGTTGCCGTATTCTCTCTAATAGTAGTGCGCACTACCATTTTTTGAACCCCCTCCTGGACCGCAATACTATTAGAGAGTGCACTACTATTAAAGAGTTTTATCATTTACCAAAGTAAGGCAGATATAAGATTTGTTCCAAAAATTCTTGCAATTCTTTCACGTACTCCTTTGGCTCCTTTTGACATAAAGTTGTGGGCCGGCGAGTTGACAATTTGTGTCTTGGCATAAATGCAATCTTTTTAATCTTTTCTTTCTTCTAAATAAGCCAATCTTTATGATTTTGGTTTCATTTTGTTGCACTTATTGAGATCTACAAAATGAAACCAAAATCATAAAGATTTGTCCACTTAGAAGCAAGTTATGGCGAGTTGCGCAAACGACCAAACGATGCAAACGAAAATGGCGGAAATTAGTCTACCCCGTCATGACGTCAGAAAAATTTTACCAACATCAAAGGTGCGCGTGGGCCATATAACCGCGCACTTCTAAAAAACCTAGGTTTCAGAGCTAGCGTTTCCATTGACCAAAACACAAAATTAAAAAACAGTTCCCAACCAACTTTTTGCGTAGAATTCAGAAATTTGCTTTTTGAGCCTAGTTTATCAGCTAGATTTTCGTGAAAAAAATTATTTTGACTTTTCGGCGCAGAATATGGAAAAAATTTCATGGAAAAATAGAATTCCACAAAAACTCAATTCAGTATTCTGAAAGAGCGTGAAAAGAGCTATTGAATGACATATAACACTTTATGGTTCGTTTTCGGATTATTTTATTTTTTCCGTTCATTTTTGGGCCTAACTTAAAATTTGTAGTGTTCGGATTTTTGATTTAAAGAAAAAAAATTTACATTGGGGTGTAATCGATGTGCGTGGACCAGGCGCTGCGCCGTCAAGGTGTGGATACGGCGTCGACAAAATTCCTCCACGACAACGCTCGGCCGCATGTCGCAAAAATCACCCAGCAGAAAATTGAAGAAATGGGCTGGGAAGTCCTGCCTCATCCGCCATACAGCCCAGACTTGGCGCCTTCCGACTACCATCTGTTCGGATCAATGCACCACTCCTTGGCCGAGAAAAAGTTCAAGAACCGCGACGAGGTCCAAATTTGGGTGTCCAACTTCTTCGAGTCGCAGCCGGTCGAGTTCTTCAAGAAGGGCATCCATTCTCTGCGTGAACGTTAGCGACAAGTCATTGATGCAGATGGCGAATACCTTTTGGATTAATGTATTGTTATCTTGTTTTTATAATAAAATAAACTTTTAACGAAAACGCGCATTTCTTTTTTACCAACCTAATAGTAGTGCACTTTATGGTTCGATGAAATTTCACGAACATCAAAGTCGCCGCCTTTAATTCTGAAATTTTGGATAAACGTTTTCGGATTATTTTATTTTTTCCGTTCATTTTTGGACCTAACTTAAAATTTGTAGTGTTCGGATTTTTGATTTAAAGAAAAAAAAATTTACATTGAGGTGTAATCGATGTGCGTCATTCATTTTCATTTTTCCTGCGTCTTTGCTGCTTCAATCTCAGTACTAATTTAACTTTTTACTTTCTATTTTATTTTTAAATTAACTTCTTATTTTCAGCTAAGACCGCTAAGACCCAAATAATGTTTCTTCTTTAGAAGATGTCGTCGACGATCCCTGCTCCACCCGATGTCGAAACCGACCGACGACGGGACTCATCATCGGACTCATCATCGGACTCATCATCAGACTCATCATCGACGTCGCCTTCGAGAAGCGCGTCAGCACACTCGGGGAGGAGCGATAGCAGGGATAGTCGATCGAGGAGCCGTTCGCATAGCAGCGTGACGTCAAGAGAAGCAACGCCAAAGATAGATCGATCCAGGAGGACCCCGAAGATCTACGAAAACGTGAAGAACATTCCGGCAGCGCCCACTGTCGAGCTGACGCCCAATCAGCCGACCTACCCTCTCCCTGAAGGGAGAACAGGCGGAACGTCAAAATCATCCTACCCCTCAGACAAGGGGCGCACAAAAATGCCACAAAATGGCCGTTGCCGATTTTGATGCCGTTGAGATGCAAACGTCTATCGGACACAGGGAATCCGATGCTGTCTTCGGTTTTTGCCCATATTCAAAAATGTGTCCAAAGTTTGGGTGTTTACTTGGGAAATCGTGCCACGGACTTACAAAGGCTTTTTTCCGACCCTCGAAATGTGGTAGGTGCAGATGGCTTCGTGGTAGGTGCCGATCTTCTTTTTGCTTTTTGTCACAGTGTCACAGAGTCTGCGTCTCTTCAACGAGGCATTTTCCGGGTCTCAGAACGAAAATCCGTTGTCTATCAAAAGAAATGTTTGGAAAAGAATCCCTAAAATTGGCTAGTATTGATTGAATATCTAAATATATTCGTATTGAAGCTATTGAATAATGCCAAAATTGCTACCGATTCCCTTCGCAACTATTCCGAAAGAGTTGCTAGTACCAATATTGGACAAATTGGACCCAGAAGAAAATAGTAAACTCTTAAAAACCAATCATTATCTTCGCTATAAAGTCTTGTCTAACGGTCTATTCGGGAAATGGGTCAGGTCCATAGAAATCCAAGACAATCATCATTCGGAAGATATACCTTCAGACTCTTTAACTGTTACTCTCTGGAAAAATGGATATCCTTTGAAATTCGACGTCTTCGAATCTTTACCTAGCTTATTTCTAAAAAAAATTAAAACTTGCGGACACTTGTTGCTGGTCCATAAGCTTTCGGATCATTACGGACATATCGAAGAGCCTCTCAGAGTTTTGCTGGAAAAACTCGATTCTGTGGGTTCTCTTTATATCGCTGGGTTTACGATCGGATTTTTGAACACGATCTCTGAAGGATTTAACTTCAAAGTCAAGGAGGATGCGGTTATCAGGCCGGATGAGTGGGAAGAGCTGGAAATCACTGACAATTTCACCCATTTCATCGAAAATGGACTGAGATTTTGCAAAAAAATTTCAATTCATGGTTTATGCGAAAATTTGTTGAACGCTTTATCGAAGACTCAAGTTGAGATGGTTGACCTTTTGTCCGAAAGATGCGAATTTCTAGACCATTTCCCGGAGTGGATCGTGAGAAACGGATTGCCAAGTGAAAACCAGAATTGCTCGCTTATCATTTCTGTTATCTTTGATCCGGAGCGCGATGACATAGTCGTACTTGATCCGTTTTCTTACAATTCTTTATTGAAACGTGTGCGAGATGTGAAGATTTACAGAAAAATGGAGAGGGAAATGAGAAAAGTTAGAGCTGGGACTGAAGAGGAAATTGGGAGAATCGATAAAGTACGGTGCTTTCGGACGCGTGGTCGTGTGGATGATTTGAGATTTTTTATGGCCAGAGAAACTGGTAGCCGATGGTTCGAAGAGGAAGAATTCGAGATCCTGAATTTCTTTGTGAAACGGTTGAAGTAAGGCTAGCGTTTTCTCTTCAAATTCTTCAAGTTCTTCTAATAATTCAAACCAATTTTCAAAAGCTTCCATAACCTTGACTCTAATCTAATTTGATTTCTGGTTTCGCATTTAGATTGTTTTAGACAATATAGAAAATAAAGAAAATAAAGAAAATCTTCTTATTTTCAAAACTATTGCCATCGTCCTGTTGCATGTTTTACTGCATATTATTGCAAATTTTACTGTTACTATCTATGATGTTGATCCCGCTCCGAAAATTAGACTCTTATTGGGTTGGTGGAAAAGTCCTTCCCGATTTT